TGCCTCTGCCTCCCGAGTGCTGGGATTAAAGGCGTGCGCCACCACCGCCCGGCTCAATGTTGAATTTTGAAAATGTATATGGATTTTAGATACTAGTCCTTTCCTGAATGCATGGTTTGTGAATATTTTTGCCTGTCCTTATTTTGTGTTTCCATCTAAATATATTTGCTTTCATTTTTTTTTTAATTTGAAAGTTTTAAAATTAGGATTCTGGGTTTCATTATGACATTTTTTCACACAAAACTTACACGTATATGTATTTATTCGCCTCCTCTGTCATCTCCCCGGGGCCTGGGGTCACACCCTTGTCATCTTCCACAGCCTCTTCCCCTTTTTCCTTTTGATGTTGCCGGTCTTGCTCCCTCCCACCTTTCCTCAACCTCTATGCTCTCCTCTAGTGGTCCCTGTACTAGTTTCATAACCTGTACCCACACTGACCTCTGACTGACCTCCCACTTGTATACAGAGACATTACAAGCTATGAACCACGTATGGGAGACAATATTGCCTTTCTCAGTCTGTGTTACCTTGCTTACAATATACTTTCTAGATGGATCCATTCCCTGCAAATGATTTAATTTTTCTTTACAGATGAGTAAAGTGATGTTGTGTATGTGTACTACATTTTTATTATCCACTCTTCTGTTATGGATAGCTAGGCTGCTATCATTTCCCAACTGTTTAAGTAAGGCAGTAATAGACATGAATGTGCAAATGTCTCTGTGGCAAACTATAGACTACTTTGGTATCCATGCCCAGGCATGGTATAGCTGGGTCATATAGCGTGCTCTCTCTCTTCTTTAAATAGAAATATCCATACTGATTTCCATAATGGCTACATTTGTTTACACTTCTGCTAGCTGGGACTAGGAGTTCTGCTTTTCCTATATTCTCACCAGCACTGGATGTTGTGTCTTCTCTTTATGGTAGCTATTCTGAGAGGGGTGAGTTAGAACCTCAGAGTAGTTTTAATTGCATCTCCCAGATGGCTAACGATGTTGAACATGTTTTTGTTTGTTTGCTTGCTTGCTTGTTTTGTTTTGGTGAACGTGTAATTTTTTAAAGTTATATTCTAGGTATTAATCCCTTGTTTGAAGTATACTTGGTATTTTTTCTCCCTTTCTGTTTGCTTTGTTGATTGTTTGCTGGCCAAAAAGTGTTTAATTTCATGAAGTCCTGTTTGTTAATTCTGTTTGGACACTTCCTGTGCTGCTGAAGTCCTATTACCTATTCCTATAACTTGAAGTAAATTCTCCATGTCTCCAGTACTTTCAGCATTTCAGGCTTTAAATTAAAATCTTTGATTTATTTTGAATTGATTTTTGTATAGGGTGAAAGATATTCAACTCATTTCTTTCTTTTACAGGTGGATATTAAGGCTCCTCTCCCCTATTATAGTGCTTGAAATTGAAGTCTTAGTTAGAGAAATAAGACAAGACACAGATGTAAAAGAATGAAGTGAGGAAAGAATTTGAAGTATCCCTATTTGTAAGTAACATGATTTAATATTTAAAAGATTCTACAAATTTGTGAGATAACTCTTAAATAATAATTAAAAACCTGAAACTTTCAGTAAAAAGTTTCAGGATCCTAAGTCAACATACAAAAATCAGTGGTGTTTGGTTAGATGCAGTGCTACACAACTTTAATTTCAGCACTTGGGAAGCGGAGGCAGGTGGGTCTCTGTGAGTTTGAGGCCAGGCTGGACTACATAGTAAGTTCCATCCCAGCCAGAGATATACAGTGAGAACCTGTCTCAAAAAAAAACCAAAACCCAAACCAAACCCAAAACAAACAAAACAAAAGATCAGAGGCATTCATACATACCAAACAAACGTTGAGAAAGGAATTGGGAAACTAACATATTAACAATAGCTCAAAAAATACAAACCAAACAAAACACAGGAATCAACTTGCCGGGGAAGTGAAAGATATCTACAATGAATACTTTAGGAGACCGGGAAAAGAAATTAAGGATCATGGTATACAGTAGAATGACTTTCCATGCTCCTATATTGGCAGAATATTGTGAAGATGGTTCTATCACCCAAAATAATCTGAGAATTCAAAGGAATCTTCATCAAAATTCCAATGACATCCTTCACAGAACTAGAAAAACAATGACAAATTGTATGGAAACATAAAAGACCACAGATAGTGGAAGCAATCCTTAGCAGAAGGAATGCTGCTAGAGCCATCATAATATCTGACCTCATTTTATCCCACAGAGGTACCATGCTATACAAAGATAAAGACAGCATGGTGCTGCCACAATGGATATATGGACCAGAATAGAGGCCACCCAACTTAAATTATTTAAGTTGGTCTTCTCTTCCTTCTCCTCTTAAACTGTGGATACACACTGCTTTGGTAGCATTTGATGAAAATCTGATATTTCTTGCACTGATTAGTTTTGTGCCCTTTTCAAAATTCTGTTGGACATATACATAGGTCTGTTTCAACTTACTGTATTCTACCACATTGGTCTACACATCTGTCTCCCCACTAGCCAAAGAGCCAAAGGGGCATCTCTTCTGAATCTTGTGTCCCTGATAGCATCTCCCAGGCAAGTGTCCAAGGCCCCTGTGAGAAAGCTGGTGACAGAGTTTTAAGGGTAATGTGTCCTCTGGATTTCCAGACAGGCTGGGAGAGCCATTCTCCCAATGCTGAGACCTAACCACTGCTGCTCTTCCAGGCCCGTTATAGAAACCTTAGCTCAGGCAAGGTGGGCAGGAGTCATCTTTCCCATATACGTGTATGTATTTTCTAAGAAATGGACTTAGCTAGGAAACCAATGAGTTGGAGAATTTTCTGTCATGTAGATCAAATCTTTTTCTTCCCCTTCCTTCCTTCCTTCCTTCCTTCCTTCCTTCCTTCCTTCCTTCCTTCCTTCCTTCCTTCCTTCCTTTTTCTTTTTTCTTTCCTCCTCCTCCTCTTCCTTCTTCTTCTTATTTTTGTTGTCGTTAAATCTTTTTCTTTCTGGGGTAAAAATCTAGTTGCTTTGGGAAATGTTTACACTTAAATAATCCAGAAGTCAACGATTTAAATAATTCCCTTTGCTTCCTCAATCAGGGTTTCCAAGACTACCTTAGGTTTGGTGATTCATTGAAAGAACTCAAAGTACATGGCATGTGTTAAACTCATGATTAATATTTATTATAATGAAAGGATCCAAGGAAAGTTATTAAACTGAACAGGTACATAGGCAAAGTCGTGAGCAAAACTGAGTCGTGTTTCCAAGAGCTCTCTTCCAGTCACAAAAGACATGCTTAATCCCTTAAGCAGTGAGTTGTAACACATCAAGGAACATGTTTGCTGGGTAGGATTAGAGACCTAGCATCTCAAATTTTTATTGGGTACTAGTTTTGAAGGCACTTTCAACATAGCAAATACTCAAGTTTGAGGCTCCCAGAAGAAAATCAGTTTTTCAGCATGTGATGGATTTAAATGGCTCCCATAGGCTGCATGTTAAGAGCTGGGCTGCCATCTTGTGGTGCTAATGGGAGGTGGTGGAACGTTCAAGTGGAGGGTCTCACTGAAACTATGCCTCTGAAGAACTTACTGAGATTCTCTCTCTCTCTCTCTCTCTCTCTCTCTCTCTCTCTCTCTCTCTCTCTCTCTCTC